GGCGGATTCTTAACCACTGCGCCACTAGGGGAGTCCTTACCTAACTTTCATGAGTAGAACTTCAGAGTTTTAATTAGAATTTTATAGGTAAATTACTAAAGAAAGGTAATGCCTTCAAATCAACTAAGTAATCTTAAAGATGAACCTAGGGTTATGGATAAAATTGTTTCTTCCTCCTCCCAAAAATATGTTGAAGTCTTAATCCCTGGTTCCTAAGAATGTGACCTGTTTGGAACTTGGGTCCTTAAAAGAGGTAATCAAGTTAAAATGAGGTTATTAGGGTGAGCTCTAAACCAAAATGACTGGTATCCTTATTAAAATGGGGGAATTTAGACACAGATGTGTACAGAAAGAAGCCCATGTGAAGACATAGGAAAAATGCCTGAGGTTACCAAAAGTTAGGAGAGAAGGGTGGAACAGATCCTTCCTTAGTGCCTTCAGAGGGAGCATGGCCTTGCCCACACCCTGCTTTCAGACTTTTGTAGCCTCCAGAACTGAGCCAATAAATTTCTGTTGTTCTAAGTCACCCAGTTTGTGATACTTTGTTATGGCAGCCCCAGCAAATTAATATATGACTTTTATTTTAATGCACTACCACTTTTGATGATTAGCTGTACTTTGCAGGTTGTATACTAGAGGCTGATTTTGCAATGCTGTAGAAATATGCTGATAGTTTAAAGAACTAGAGAAAAGAGTTTAAAGACATGTTGCAACAAGTTTATGCAGCAATGAAAGGTGTGTTTTTCAAAGTTGGTTTTAGTAATTTTTGTTCATTATGGGAAAACGAAGACTTCTTTATTGAAACATAAGTAAAATAAGATTTTAGAATTAGATTGTTTTCACTGTTATTTTTTATATTTCATTATAAAAATAAAGTACATCTATATTTGAATATAGAAACATATATAAAATATAGTGTAATTTTAGTATTTTAATCTGTGAACTCTAAATTCTTTCATTAGATCTAACAAAAATGCTTTTTTACAAAAGAGCAGCTGCTCCTATCTTTGAAGAATAGTCATTTGTCTGAAGATTGATACATCATTGGCTGAACTGAATCAAAATCTTGTTCACCATGTTCAGTGTTATATAGAGTAGTAAATTTTGTTCCCAAGGCTACCTAGACTTTTTTTTTCTTTTTTCTTTTTTTTTTTTTTTGGCTGTGTTGGGTCTTCGTTGCTGCCTGCGGGCTTTCTCAAGGCGAGCGGGGGCTACTCTTCATTGTGGCGCGCGGGCTTCTCACTGCGGTGGCTTCTCTTGTTGCAGAGCACAGGCTCTAGGCGCGTGGGCTTCAGTAGTTGTGGCACACGGGCTCAGTAGTTGTGGCTCACCGGCTCTAGAGCACAGGCTCCGTAGTTGTGGCACACGGGCTTAGTTGCTTCATGGCATGTGGGATCTTCCCAGACCAGGGCTCGAACCTGTGTCCCCTGCAATGGCAGGCGGATTCTTAACCACTGCACCACCAGGGAAGCCCTACCTAGACTTTTAATGATTTTTTTTTTCCTAATGAAAAGACTGTTTGAAAGGAAATTAGTAACTTTATATTGAATCCTGGCAGATACTAACTTAACCGAGTGATCAGAGTTAATATCACCAGCACCACATAGCAACATCACAGACCCCAGATATGTTGTGCTGAGAAGGACACATTGGGTACTCTTCCCAATCATGTTTAACCTCTTCTAATCATGAGAAAGCATCAGACAAACCCACGGTTGAGATACATTCTACAAACTACCTGACTAGTACTCTTTAATGTAACAAGGTCATGAAAGACAAGACTGAGGAACTGTCACAAATTGGAGAAAATTAAGGAGACACAGTAACTAAATGCAATGTGAGATCCTAGATTGGATCTTAGCACAGGAAAATGACACTAGTGGAAAAACTAATGAGATCTGAATAAATTCTTTATTTTAGTTAATTAATCGGGGTTAGCTTCTTGGCTTTGAAAATTATTTTTTATCATATAAGATGTTAACATAGGGGAAGTTGGAACTCTGTACTATTTTTGCAACTCTTGTAAGTCTAAAACAATCTCAAAGCAAATACTTAAAAATAAAATGAAAGACTTTGTTTCCATACCATGCTTTTCTAATGTTAAAATGTAAAGGTTAAGTACTAAAAAAGTTATGAGAATAAAGGAATGAAATGAAGATTATTGGGGGGAATATTTTGTCACCATTAGCTATAGAATTCTTTCTGTTTGTTCTTTAATCAAAGTTCAAGTTTGTAGAATTTGTACATTGTGAGTTTCAGAATATTTAAACATTAATATGTTTAAGAATTTTAATATATGGGCCAATAATTTGAGCATTTCTTTAATTTACAGTAATTTCACCTTGTTTATTACACTCGGTTATTACTAGTGTTAAAGTACTCTTGTAACCTGTATTTGAATGTGCTACCGTTTTTGATGATTAACCATACTTTGCAGGTTGTATACTAGAGGCTGATTTTGCAATGCTGTAAAATGTGCTAACAGTTTGAAGAACTAGAGATAAGAGTTAGAAGACATGTTGCAACAAGTTTGTGTAGCAGTGAAAAAGTAAAGACACTTTTAGCACACAAAAAACAGCACAGGTAGAATTCTGTCATAGTAAGCAGTCTCCTTGATTTTTTCAAAAAGATTAGATGCTTTAGGATACTTATTCCTTATAATCATTTTGTTTTAATTTGCTCTTTGGGCTTTTCCTGATTGATAGGAGATTTGTCCACTGGTAGTGTAGGTTCAAGACATTAGTACAGTATTTATATTATTTTGTTCTTGTGGGAGGGAAAAACCCTTATTGTGTCGGTGCATGAAGTTCATTAATATTAATAAAGACACTTGCAGTTACTGTGCATTGCTACTGAGACACTGGCATTTTGTGTAACTGCTTTTAATCACTTACATATAGATTGGCTAGTACAATCTGAAAAGCTCTGCTAAAAAGTAGTCAGCTTACTATAACATAAGTTGAGGATTTAGACATTACAGACATATATTTTCATTGTGCAGTACGTGTACATTTTTACCTGTCAGTTAAAATGGAAACTAATAAAAGTTGCATTTATAATATTGAAACTACTCTTGAATGTTAATATCTGTAAAAAAGAATAATTATGGTGTTCTAAAACTATTTTCATTTTATGATGTAATTTATCAGTTTGCAAATGTGTTCTTTGAGCAAAATTGAAGAGTTTTAATCATAACAGGTTTTTATTTGGGAGGATCTTCTGATATTAGGTATATTAATGTAGAAAAAAGTTAATTCTCCAAAAGTAGGGCATGCTAATATCCAAATAATTTTATATTTGTAGTCATAAATCTAATAGAGCCGGTTTGGCTTGTTTTTTTTTTCCCCCCCCCCCCCCAAAAAAAAATTTACGCAATCTTTCTGGTGCCATAGCACTAGTCTTAAAAATAGTGATATTTGAGTAACCTCCTTTCTTCCAGTAGCATGCCCTATTTCGTTTTGGCTTAACTTCAGTGCTAATTGCAGTCTAGAACTCTGATTACAGAAAAGTACCAAATTCACAGATTTTCTGTTTAGGCTTTGATGGACAAAAACTAAGGCTGACTTAGAAAATATACTCAAGTTTGTATCCTTCCCTTGTTCTCCCTCAGTTTCTTTGTGAGCCTTCCTTGTAAAGGCACTTTGAGGATCTTCCCTATGAGATCTACTTATTGCTTTGTTATAGTGGGACCTCAACCCTCAATCAGAACTTTTTACCTTGTAGGCTAATGTGAGATATACTTGATACAATCTATTTAAATCTTACTACTTCAATGAAAAATATAGTGTTATTTCAGTAAAGAATATAGGGCTTATATTAGTCAATGAGAGTACACTGTGACCTCTTTGATGACTTCCTCTTAGTTTTCAGCGAATAAAAAAGCAAAGAGGAGGGATTTTGTTGATAACTAAATGATAACAAAAAAATATACTTATTTTTAAGTTGTATTTTTTAATTTACTTTAAACATATTGTATTGAAACTATATTGTAGTGCACAGTCAGGTCTGATATAAACAGGATAATAAGGAAGCCTTACGTTTATTTTAACACAGAGCACAGGAAATTCTTAAGATAGCCTGAGTGTGGGTTTTGATATTCTGTTTTCACAGTATCAAGCCAGGGAAACTTAATTATTTCCTGGAAGTAAAAGGAAGATTTCCAAGTATTAACAAATCTTCTGCCAAATCCCTACAAACTATGAAAAATAAGTTGTGTTTTTGATGGTATAACACTGCAACTTGGGGTTATGACACTTAGTACTAAATTCTCTTTAGAGTAAACGTAGAGATTGAAAAACCACACATTTGGATTGAATATGAACTTTCTATCACAATGTTTAAAAATGATTTTTATATTGATAACCACCCTCGGATGCATTTAGAAATAAATTAGTAAGTTTATTTATTAAATCTTTATGCTGTTGTATACATTGCCTCATCAGGCTAGAATATAATCCATTTTTGGTATCAACTCTCCTCACCTAAAAGATGTTTGATGGAGAACATAGCTTCAATTCTGGCACATGGAAACTAGGAACTCTTTGCCTAGAGTGTATGACAGTTTGAGTAATGAATTGGTGACAGATTCTGAATTTATTTGATTGATTTTCAACTTCGTATTAACGATGTTTTTATCTTCCTTCTTATGAGTAAAAAAGTTTGATAAAATATTAACGTGCATGTATTAGCAGAAAGTTTGCCTCACTTCGGCAGGTCATACTTTACAATTAGTGAAAGTTATGTACATAAAGCGTCATTCCCAAATCTCAAAATTCAAAGTAAATAAGGTTATACCATTCGTTTTAATTATTTTTAGAGTACTTTCATGTTTCTAGAAACATTCTGCAGGGTTTGAAGAACAGAAATGCAAAAGAAAAAAGGTATAATAAAAATTTAATAGATAAACTATTATAAATTTTAACCCACTATGAACGCTGAAATCAGATAAATCTCATCTGTTTTTTCTAGTACAACTTTAAGTGTGTTTTTTTCCCTCCCAGGACATTTATTCAGAGCAGCTGGGGATCACCTGTTTAACCTGTCCACAGTGTCGAGTGCCTTCCCCGTGGTCAGCCACCCAGTCTTTGGTCTGCATTCAGCCAGCTCAGGGCATTCAGAATTTGGTGGTTTGGGGACACTTGGTACACCCACAGCCTTAGCTGCACATCCCCAACTAGCGTCTTTTCCAGGTAAACATCTGTTACAAACAGTGTTCAAGGAAAGGAGGAAAGCTTGAAAATGTTCAAGCAGTAGTTTGGTAATTAACTTGAACAAAAAGAATAGTATTATGCCTGGTATATTAAAGCTCTTGTGCAAGAATTAACTCAGTCCTTTTTATCCTGTGCAAAAAAATAAAACACACTCTGTGTGCTAGGTGGCAGCACAACTGACTAGGTATTCAAGTGTTAAGCTAGAAAAATAGGCATCTGCCACAAAAGTGAGTAATTAGGCCAGGTTTTTCTCATGCTTTTTATTGAAGTAGAAAAGTATATGTATGGGAAGTATAGAGTTTGGTTAATTATTCTCAGCTTTATTTTATTTTTTAAAAAAAGATTTAACTTACAGTGGAAAACTAGAGTCCAGTTCTTATAATGAATATACTTTTATTTTGAGTTTTCATTTCTCTGCATTTATAAGTAAGATGAGCTTGGCTCTTAAATTTCTATATTTTTCATATTTCATTAAAACAACCATAGATTTGCACCACTTGTGTGGCAGGAAGACCAGAATTATCCCAAATTCTACAGATTATGAGGATTCAGGAGTTCAGTAAGACACCAATTAAAGCTTAACTTAGACAAACATGCTGTAATTTCTCTTGTTATATTATTTTCAAAGTCTAAACTTTAATGTGTTTCCAGTGATTAACTTTACCATAATAAATTTTAGTTAAGGATGCATGATTTACTGTTATAGAAAGTAGTTAAAAAATTAGAGCATAATTCAGAGACAAATAGATCTGAATTTAAATCTGGCTTTGTTACGTTTTAGCTGTGTGACCTTGATTGAACAAGTAATCTGACCTCTCAGCCTCAGTTTTCTCATCTGAAAAATGAGAATAACAATAACAATAATAAGAATAGTATCTGCCTCTTAGGGTTCTTGTGAAGATTAAAGGAGATAAACCATGTTCAGTGCTGAATGCAGTGTTTAGCACACCTAATTAGTATGTAATTGGTAGCCGTCATTGTTTTTATTCTTGTCAAGTGTTTCTTTAAAAGGAAACAAGTATCTTGTTTGAATTATGTATGTAGAATGGAAAGTTGGCTAAGTATATATTTCAAGTACTATTTCTTGAGTCATATTATTTCTTTAATTCAGAGAGGAGATAGTAATGTGGCTAGAAAGTTAAAACAGAGTCTTAAACTAAGTCGACATTTGCTTTAAAAATACTAATAGGAATTTATTTCAGTCAGTTTTGAGCATGGTTGCTTAGCAAGATGAGTATTCAATAGGTATTTGCTGAAATATAGTATTGCTGAATAAAAAATTAAAATGGATAATAGTAATATAGATAGTTGCTAGTACCTTAAATTTTAAAAATTGTTTTATCATAGTTTATTATATTTGATATAGTTTGATATATAAAGTACTAATTACTTCTGAGCATTTCTAAACCACAGTGTAATTATTGTATAATTAAAATCAAATATCTTTTGCACTGAAAACATGGTTAACAGGTGTAAAGAGTTACTCATCTCAACTTCAATAATGTTGATACTTCCACTGTATAGAAAAAAAATTTGATAACTTCCCTAGCCTACATAAACTATTCACTCATTCATTTCTTATACAAAGTTCTTTGAGCATCTACTATGTTCTGTGCAGTAGGCCAAGCACTGAGGAATATACTAGCATAGTATATGTTATGTTGCTTATAGTTTTTAGGAGATAGCTAAGCAGACAATTACAAGACAGAGTCTTTAGTGGTAAAAGTATGCCTGTATAAGCATACTTTTTTGCCAAGTGAACAGAGACTATGCCTTGTTTTAGAATATGTGGGCCTCTCACTGTCGTGGCCTTTCCCGTTGCCGGACGCGCAAGCTCAGCGGCCACGGCTCACAGGCCCAGCCGCTACGCGGCTCACAGGCCCAGCCGCTACGCGGCATGTGGGATCCTCCCAGACCGGGGCACGAACCCGTATCCCCTGCATCGGCAGGCGGACTCTCAACCACTGCGCCACCAGGGAGGCCCAAGTTGTACGTTTTGTATAACTTAAATTTAAATTTTCTATAATTAGTTTTATTCAAAAGGGTAAGCAAAATGCCAAAATGTTTAAATCACCTACTAAATAAATGAAGACACACAGGAAGAAATTACTAGGAATTTTAAATGAGAAATAGTTTATTTTTAAATATTATCCACTTCTAAATTTGTCTGCATTTCAGATGACTAAATCAACACATGCAAATTACTTAATGGATATTAGTATAGTAAAGTTTTTTATATTGAAATAGTATTTCACGGTAAGTTCTTTTAAAACATTTACAGTTTTTAATCATTATATTTTTATATTACCGTGAATTTTCGTGAAGTATCTGGCTCTATCAAGTTTGAAAGATTTTTAAATTCTGCTGTCTTCTATGTTCAAATTGAGATTCAGTGTATCCTCTGAAATATTAGCATCTTTCAGTTGAATATGATTAATGTTGTTACCATGCAGTTACTGCCCTTGAATACATTTAGAAATTCATCATGTGCTGGTTTATGTGATTCTTATTTTGTATATTTCATTTTATCAACAAACTAGGTTGTGAGTGACTAAATTTTGTTTTTTTATTTTCTTAAATTTGGAAGAGAAATAAGCTCATCACTTAACAAAAATTCTGTTATTTCCCATGAATTATTAGACATTTGTGAAGCTTGTGGTCAGAAGCGCTACCTTTTTCATCTTTTTATTTAATTGATCTTATTTACTTGCATTTTTACTCATGGTGTCACCTTATTTATAACGTACACATTTTCCAGTTGTGTTTTTTTCTAGTCCCTGTTGTGTGCTTATTTACCATTGACATTCTAAGTACATTTTTATGTTGTTTCTGAGTTTGATTATGTCTAAAATATTTGAGTCTTATTACACTTTGACTGCCTTACCGATTTGTTGGTTGTCTACAGAGTCTGAACGTTCAACTGTAATGCTTTAATTATGGGCTCTATTTTAAATAATATGAATATTTCAGGAAACTGAAATTTCCTTTTTTATCAGCTATGTAGGACCTAGCTTTCAAACCTATAAATAACAAGAGATTCCAACTGCGCTAATGCAAGCCCCAAATACATAGTTTTTCTTTCTATCTACATACAGTTCTTTCATCTAAACAGTAGATAAATGATTTATGGTTTTGTATAGTTATTCTTGGTTCAGTTCCCATCATTCAGCCACTGCTGAATATACATTGGTGTCATTTCACTAGCAGTGCCTTCCTGCAGTGCAGAAGAATAGCTTTTGCAGTTTTCTGCTTGTACTGTTTTTTAGATCTTTCAGAATGTCAGTTACCATGAACATTTCACTTTTTATTAAGCTAAACTTTTGTCTTTAGCTAATGAAGGTGCACATCACTTAACATCCTATTTTTAATAAAAAGATATTCCTAGAAAAGCTTTAAAGATCATATAATACAGTACACTGACAATATTGAATTTTTCCCATACTATATTATTGGGGTTTTTTCCTCTAATTTTTTCGTGGTTATCAAGTCAATGAAAAGTATCCTCTATCTCTTGGAAGATTAGCCTGAAAGGTAATAACTGATTTGGTAATCTAGCTGGTTAGCCAATTGGAAAATATTCTTTCCGAGATTTTACATGGGGCAGTACAAGACTGTCCATTGGGTTATTTCAAATTTCTTCTTAATCTTTCACCCTTCCTTAAATAATGTATTCTATAAAATTTGTCTTCTCTCCTTTTCTAAAAGTTTTAACTAGAAGCCACTGTTTGAATATCTAAATTGCATTTGATGATTTTCTACCATTTAGTTATTTTACATTGATAAAACATTGTTATCTGTAATTTATGAGAGGAAGTATAAATAAAATTCAGGCTTTCTTCATTAACTTTAAGGGGAGAAACTATAAATCTTTTATATTTTAATGTGACTTAACTTGTTTTAAAAATCTTCTTTGAAGCACTTTTCATTGCTTAGACACCCCCCCCCAAAAAAAAAAGGCTTACTGATTTTGCTATCTCTATTGTTTTGAGTATAGGATGTTTTCTTCCATAAATGCATTTGAGATATGCTGGATTACAGTGGTCTTTGTATTATTATTTAAACCACCGGATTTATCAAAGCCAGCTTTATATTGTATGTAATTTAAGGAAATTCTTAACATAGGTTGTAGATGGTAACCTTAAATTCTAAGGTTTTAAAGCAGATTAAAATAGTCTTAAATATTGTTTCTTTACTAATTTAGAAAAATTATGATGTAAGTCATCAAAGAGTTCTTTAATATTCCAAGTTTCCCATTTTATTTTTAAAACCATAGACTACTTTTGTTCTTCATAAATTTGAACTCAAGGAAGTTGCTAAGTGAAGATCCTTGGATCCTGTCTTAATGAGCAGAATAATGAGTGTATAACTTCTAATCAGCTGTCTTATAATTAGAAAGATGATCGGAACTATGTGTAATTCAGCTATTCTATTCCAAGATGAAATTTGAAATTTTTTTTCAGGAATAAAATATAAAAAGCACTGTTAAATTAGCTAGAAAGTTAATTCAAATATTTTTGCTTGTTTGGTGTTTGGCTTTGAGGTGCAGAATGGTGGCGAACAACAGATGTTCATACGCGTGCAGGGGCAACCTTCTTTCCGCCATTACTGGGAATTCCACCACTGTTTGTTCCTCCAGCCCAGAATCATGATTCTTCTTCATTCCATTCGAGGGCTTCGGGCAAAAGTAATCGAAATGGTCCTGAAAAAGGTACCCATGTTAACTTTAAGTGAAGTACTACAAATCCTCCATTTCAATACCTATCTTTAATAGGGTTCACATTTAGTAACAATTATGGGGCATTGTGCTAGACACTTTCACATTGTCTCGCTTAATCCTTATAATAATCCTTTGAGATTGGAAGCATAGTCATTTTGCAGCTAAGGTTAAATAAGTTGTTCAAGGAAGCACTGTTTACATGTTGACATTGCACAGCATAATTTAACCCAGGTCTTCTAACTCCAAACTCCACTGCTTTTTCCTCTGTATCTCATTACCTCCTCCATGTTCACTCAATAAAATATATTACTTTTTCTGTAATTAAGCATTAAATTAATTAAAACTAATATGTTAGTATGCCTTTTTTCTTTTAAATTGTCATTAATACTTCATAGTTGATAACTGTTGTTAGAATACATTTGCAAATTATAATCGCATTTTAGATGGTTTATTATTACCTTTATTTTCACTTAAGTAAGTGTTTGGGGAGTTTGCTCCGAAAGGGGGAACACTCGCATTTAATTATCTTTCTAAAAATTTTTTAATTGAAGTGAAATTCACACAAATGTAAAATTAACCGTGACATGTAATGCATTCATAGTGTTGTACAACAACCACCTCTATCTAGTTTCAAAACATTTTCATCACCCCGAAAGGAAACTTCATACCCGTTAACCAGTTTCTCTCTATTATTCCCTCTCCCAGTCCCTGGCAACCACTAGCTTGCACTCTATCTCTATAGATTTACCTGTTGTGAATATCTCATATAGATGGAATCATACAATTTGTGTCTGGCTTCTTTCACTTAGCATAATGTTTTCAAGAGTCATCCACATTGTGGCATATGTCATTACTTCATTCCTTTTTATGGCTGAATAACATTCTCTTGCATAAATATATTTATTTTTACTTTCAAGGTGTAAATGGGTCAATAAATGGAAACAATACATCGTCTGTATCTGCTATCAACACATCTGTACTATCCACTACTGCTTCAAGTTCTGTGGGACAAACTAAAAGTATAAGCTCAGGTGGAGGAAATCGAAAATGTAGTCAGGAACAAAACAAAACCCAGCCTTTGGATGCTAGAGCTGACAAAATCAAAGATAAGGTAAGTTGTTCTTTGAGGCACAAATATATAACAGATCGATATAAGTATTCTAAAGATCAAACCACCTGAATCTATGGAATAACTTTTTATGAATTATCAACTCCTATTTTTATAGATATTCATTTTTGTGGGGTGGTTTTAGTATTATGCATCTAAAAAATTAAAACTGTCAGCACCGGTATAAATAATACAAATAGTAGTCATAGATAAGATTTATTGAGAACTTAACACAGGCCAGTTCTGCTGTAATTGCTTTGCATATAATATCTATTTCAATCCTCCTTATACCCCTACTGAGGGAGGTACTATTATTATAAACTGGGAAAAAGAGCCCCCAAATAGTTGGCCATTAAGTGGTCAGGATTCAAAGTCAGGCAGGTTGACTCCAGAGCCCATGCTTTAGGAAAACAAAAACAAAAAACCTTTCATTATGGAAAATTTCAAATATACACAGAAGACAGAATAGCATAATAATCCTGTGTACCCATTATTCAGTTTCAACAGTTACCATCTCATGGCCAATTATATTTCATCATAACCCCAGCTGAATTCTCCTTTTCTCCTTTGCCAGTTGGCAGTATGTTAGACCTTGTCAATAGAGGGTCCTAGAGACACACTGGAAGAGGAAAATGCTTCTGTTCCTGGTTCAAGTGTTTTCTTCTTGGTCTTATGCTGTGGCTGCCAGTGGGTGGCTTCCTCACCAGCTGGCGGCTACTCTGCCAGTTGTGTTCAGGAGACCCAGTAGTATATACCGTCTAGTGAGTGTCACTGACATCCCAGCAGGCAGCTTATAAGTGAGTTTTGCTGGGATGCCAGTGGTTGGCTTTCTAGCTAATTTTACTGTCACCCCTGATGATAGATTCCCAGCAAGTTTTTCTGGCACTCCAGCAGGTGGTGTCTCCTGTGTACCAGCCTTGATCTGTGATACCTCAGTGAGCTTCTCTGCCATCCAGTGGGCAATAGCCACATCCTTTCCAACAAAGTCTGAAGCTCAGCCTTGGGTGAATGAGGGGTTGGAGAAGAAAGACCCTCTTCCAAGTTTATTTTAGTACCCTACCTCAGCCGTACAGGAAGTGGCTCTTCCCTCCATCGGCTATTCCGGTATTCTTTACAGGTCTCTTTTCCTCTTAGTAGTTCATATTCTGTTTCTAGTTGTTGGTTT